TACCTACCCACCTACCTACCTACCTACCCACCCACCCACCTACCTACATACCTACCCACCTACCTACATACCTACCCACCTACCTACATACCTACCCACCTACCTACCTACCTACCCACCTACCTACCTACCTACCTACCCACCCACCTACCTACCTACCTACCTACCTACTTACCTACCTACCCACCTACCCATCCACCCTCTATATTCCTTCACCCTCACCCAGCCCTTAGATGACATTTCCCACCTGCATCCTTTACGTAGGCAGCACACCTTATCCTAGGTGTCCTTAGTCATCTTGTCTCAGAATTGTCTGTGTATCTCATTCCCTCTGCCTTCAAATGATTGTTCCAGTCTCACTTTCTAACGTTGCCTCAAGTCATGCTTTACCTGTTCCATTGTTTATTTTTGGTCTCTAATCACCATTTCTCTACTGTCAAGTTTCTGGAAAATAGGAATTTCTTTCTGCTTTGACCACTCCTTGCATCCCAGTACACACACTGGATCAATACCATGTATACAGGTCTGTATTTACTGGAACAAGGAGTTTTTTTTTTTCAAAAAAAAATATTGAAAGGATGATGGCAGTACTGATCCACAGTTTAGATTTCTGTCTTCTTCACGGTAGAGTTTACTCATGAATATTAGGATTCAGCCAGCAATTAATCACCATTTACATTCATATGGGAATTTCAACCATTTTACGCTTCTGATGTCAAAATGCTAGGTTATGTAAAAAAGAAACGTTTTGAATACTAATAATGCAGATATGGAAAACTCAAGAGTACCTCTGAAAAGATGAACACAACTTACCTCTATATTCACATTTAACGTCAGGTTTTAGCTTCATGACTGGCAAATATTTCTATATACCAAATACATGCTGGCATCAAATCCCATTTTAAAATCAGGATTGCTTAAACAAAATGAACATTAGAAGCCAATGATGATCAGCACATTTCCTGCTCCCTGCAGTTCTGATCCCCACCCCGGCTTCAGGGTCTTCTCCAAGGGTCTTCTCAGCATGAGAACTGCTTCTTTCTGTGGTTCCCCTGGGGAGTGTGACCTTCTCAAAGGTCTCCTCTGATCACATCCATCATGTTCTTGTAGATGTGGCCTTCTCAGCCCTTTGATGGACCTTTCATGCTCTCTACCCAAAGCCACACACAGCTTTCCACTGCTAGGAACACAGACTACAAGTGAAAGGGTGTGCTTCCAAACAACACACCAATCTTCAAGAATGCACTATGCAGATTAGGCTGGGGTTGCCTCATAAATAGTACACTGATCAAATGCTGAGTGAGGAAACTGGGTATTTGTGGTTTTGTTCCTTTTATGGTGGTTTCTAGAATAGTGAAGAAGACAGATGTGGCTCAGGTTGTATTTCTATTAAAAGGCTCTACTCAGAGGGTTCTCCTCCTCTCGGCTATGCATGCTCTCTTTCAGCAAGAGCACCTGTTTACATCGTTGTTCAGTCGTCTCTCTGCAGGTCTCCCTGAAGCTCCAGAGTGGCATTTCTGCTTCATCATAAAGGTTCTGCCAGGTACAATCACTGCGGTCATCCCGCTACATAGCAGTAGCCTGTCCATCACACAGGCTGTGGCTTTGGAGGCTATCCTCAAACTCTGTTTCCTCTGTTATCACTCACTGCACAGATAAAGGTCCTTGTAGGAGAGAAAAGAATTGCAGCCAGGCCAGCTGAACTCACCAGCGGAGAGCTAAGAGTGCCTTAGAGAGCACACAGTTACAGAGAAATGTGCTGAGACACTTCCACCAGGACGAGTCTGTACGTTCACTCACTCCATGAGCTGGCCTTGGCTTACGAAGTGCTGCCCTCCATAGTCCAGCCCCACTCCAAGTTCATCTCAACGCTATACAGTTACCCGCCAAAGGCAAACTACCACCACCGCTGGCATCTCAGGGCTTCTATTTCTGTTGCCTCTGCATGCTGCTCATTTTGAAGCAGGCCATATGTTCTATCTGTGATTGGCAGATCTCAGGAGACTTACCTGCACATCTACTGCAAGGTATATATGCTTGTGTGTATGAAAGTTTTTTTTTTCCTTTTTTTTAGACAGCGTTCCTCTATGTAGCCCTGGAAGTCCTGTAAATTGCATTATAGACCAGGCTGGCCTCTGCTTCTCAAGTTCTGGGATTAAAGGCATAGGCCACCATGCTTGGCTAACAAGGGGTATTAAAAGACAGTTTTCTGGTTCCTCTCTCATGGGGCATGTTCCTCACACACAGGGTGTGCATCCAGAATCTCTACGTGAGAAATCTGTGTGACCCTCCAATACGGATTCTGCTGGCTCCTGGCTTGAGCACTGTAGATTCCTCAAGTCCTTGATTTTGTCCCTTCCTTTGCTCCCCTCATGCCAGAGCCAGCTACAGCCTTTAGCGTGTATTACTTCAGCAGCGTCTTGAGTACTCTTTCTCCATTCACAAGTTAGCTTACTATTAGCCAGATCAATCCTAACCATGTACATATCTAAGGCATGGGTTATAGTATGCCTTTCATTCCATGAAAACCACCCCAAGGCTCCTCATTGCCACGCACAGAAAGAGTGAACACTTTATCGTGGTGTTCAACTACTTTGAGGATCGAGAATTGAGTTTCTTTTGTTTGCTTTCAGTCTCAGGTTTTACCAGATCACTCACCTGCATGCCTTTTGTGACTTAGTGCTTTTGTGTCCCTAGTAATCATCACCAGATTGCGGGCATTATTTACAACCATTCTAGCCTACACTGCTGAGCTTTGAGTAAGCTCACACTGGTGCTGCCTTCCCTTGGGATGTGGGGATATATGTGCTGTTAAAAAGCAAGCCCAGTTCAGCCCTATAAGTGTGCTAGGTAGATTACTGTTAAATATGCACAATATGGGGAACAACATCCAGTATTTAGCCTGCATCCCAAATGATTCAATCAGCACTGGTCCTAGGACCATGTGACTGCTCTTGGTGGCTTCTCATAACTAGGTCATGATTTTCTCTCCTGCAGGAATACCTTCCCTGCTGGAGTTCTACCTGTCAGAATCCAACCTATGCTACTAATAGTCCCTTTGGGGACAACCACCTAAGGAAATACAAAGTCCCACAGCACAACATCTGTTCATCTATATAGGACATGCTTGGTGGTTTTACATTAATGTATTTGTCTGTCATTTCATCTTGGCTGTTTGAACTGCCTAACTCATATTCCACTTCAAATTCAATGTTCAGCATGGCCTACCAAGTCTGCATTTGTGTGAATATGATTCCTGTATCCTACACAAGGCTCACAAGATAATGCACCTTGCTTTTGTTTCCTACTGACGTGCAAATCTTTAAATCTGAAAACTTTATTTTTATATTGAGGCTTCTACTGTTTCTTGCTTTGTTTTTCTCTATGGAGTTTTATATGGAAATTCTTGGAGCTTTTATTTCTCCTCCTAGTAATTTCAGTTAGAAAAAGAAGAGCGTGGTCTGGTAAGTCTAAGGATAACACACGTGCAAATGTTCATGACTGAGGTACCCATCAACACAGGATTTTCATATAGTCATTTATCTCCCTGGGTCATCTCTGTCGCCAGACAGGACTTGCTGGTGGTCCTCAGAACTGATCAGTCTGTTTCTTCTTAAGGTCTTTGCACTTGATATCTTCTTTTCCTTGAATGCCCTTACTCCACTTTTTCATCTAGATGGTGCATATCTTCTCAGATGACGTCAGTCATAATTCCTCGCTGCCCTCATTAAATGCCATATTGACAATGCAGTAGCCCTCTACATTGCTTTACTATTCTTTCTGGTGCATGCTTAGTTTTTGCAGTTCGATGTTATCTACTCATTGTGGGAATGAGTGATTCCCACTAAGGTGCAGGAGGAATGACGCTCATTTCCACCGTCAATGTGACTTTTCACAAGGGCTCCTGCTGCCTCAGAGCTGCTGCTGACTTGGGGTGTCTTTGCGACATGATGGGGATGCTTCTCATCCTTCTCTAGGGCCCCTAGTTTTAGCACCAAGTCACTTAGTGACTTCAGTAAGAGTGGCAGAAAAGCAGGGAGCAAAATCAAGAGCAGGCAGAACCCCTTGACAAGAAAAAGACTGGGAGACAGCTCAGGGTTTGATAAAGCATTTGCTGTGCAAGTAGGAATAATGGAGTTCAGATGACCAGAATCCACACAGAAGCCAGGCAGGCATGACAGCACATGGGACACAGAGATGGAACACACTGGCTAGACAGACTAGCTGGAACGAGTGAACCCCAGGTTTAGCAAGAGGCCCTGCCACCAACCAATAAAGTAGGGAGTGCTTGAGCAAGACACTTAAGGTCAACTTCAAGCTTCTAATAGCAGGGAGAAGGAGGGAAGAAGAGAGAATAGGGGAGCAGAGAGAGGAAAAGGGAGGAGGAGGGGGGAAAAGAAGGGAGAGGGGAGGCGAAGAATGAGAGAAGGGCAGATATGAATTACAGCAGCCACTGGCCAAAAATGTGCAGTGGATAACTCCTAAAGCATTTCTATGTTTCCACACTCCTGTGTAATACCATGAATGGGCAGCATTCCTCATGGAGAAACTATACCGTACTTTAAAGAGGTCCTTGCAGAGAAGTAGTGCGTTATTTAGGAATAGATTATTAAAGAACAGTGCAGGGAAGTCTCTTCAATAAACTGTTTTCAAAACACATGCTTAGTAACATCAATAGGATGATTCACGATCCACTGAAAAGCAAACAAACTCTTATAGAGACCTAAAACAGGAGATGGCTTTTGTTCCTCGTAAGTGATTCATTGGGTTTCACATCTATAGCTCTCTGTTTAATGTTAATTTCCTTGAAATCCAGTGAAAGGCACCCTATAAATTCATCTTTCCCCAAAAGCCAGATTGTAAACTAGAATTAGACCCTAATCATGTTCCTTGTGAAATGTTTTAAATCCTACAGCCAAGGGAGGGATAAAATGCACCATAATCTACTTACTCATCCTTGGTTCATGGAAATGATCGAGTGGATTGCAATGTAAGTACAATACAGACGAATTGACAATTTCCATTTAGAAAGAGAAAAACAATTCAAGAACGTTTTCTAGTGAAACATTTAAACTGTCAGAGTAAAGTGTAGCTGCTACGTGATACACAATCAAATTTCAAATAGAGAGGGAGGAAAGACAACCTTACCTGAGAACTGAGAACACTCTGGCCATTTTGCCTATTGCTCGGATCTTGTTCCTGATGACCTCCTTCCGGGCTGCAGCCGTGGCTCCTGTATTGGAAAACAGAATTCAGCAGTTAGCAACTTTTTATCTGTCCACAATTACTTTGTAACTGTACCAGAGTAACGATTAGACTATGCATGATCAGTTTTGCTTTGTTTGGTTTTGTTTTACTTTTGCTATCTCTGAATTGAATTCGGATATCTGAACTTTAAATCACTGATGCCACGATGCAATTCTCGAGATTGACAAAGAGAAACTGTGGTGAGTTTACAGGGGTGGAGCCCATGTGAGGAGATCACGGAGCAGAGACTGGTTAGGGTCTACACCTTCTTGGTGCTTGAGTTTCTCATCTCTTCTGAGGTAGAAGATGGTGAGTTAGTGTTTTCTATTCTTTATCTTCAAGCTGGAAGATTACTTTAGGAAACTACTTGGCTCTCAAAAATTCTCCCTAAAACTGAACAGACCGGAACCCCTGCAGACTCCATGATCTCTGAATAACCATTCGTGTTATTTACTGGTCATAAATACTTCTTTCAGCACTAGCCATTCTTTCAGCACAAGTTCTGAAGAGAAATGTGGAAAACTGAGTTGAGTTTGTAAAAGGACAAAGGTACGCAAGGTAACAAAAATGTATGCAAGGTCCTAGTGTGGGAGAGATGACTCACTGGTTAAGGGTGCTTGCAGAGGGCGTGGGTTTGGTTCCCAGAACACACATGTTGATTCACAAACATCTGTAACTCCATATCCAGGGGAGCTGATGCCCTCTTCTGGCCTCTGTAGGTACCCGATACACATATGGTGCACACACATATATATGCAAGCAGACACTCATACATAAAATAATATAATAATTATAAGCAATGCATGAGTGTGCTTTTCAATTTTCCATCTGAAGGTTAAAAATCAGTCTACATAAGCAACTGCCAATACAAGCATTATCTTTAAAAAATACTGTAGGATCTTTAACACATCTATTTTATTTGCTAATTCTCAAAATGTACAAAACATAGAAAAATACTTTTCTTGCTAAGATGTGAATGAGTGTGCATATGACTGGGGATCGAATATAGATGCCAGTGAATGCTATGCACTGAGATACATTCCCAAACCCTCTTAATTTAAACAAACTAGGAAAAGATGTCTGTGATGGTTAATACTGTCATCTTGGCTAACTGAGCAGTGCCGAGATGAGCAAAGCACACTCTCTGATGTTATCTGCGACAGAATGCCCAGGTTAATATGGGTGACGTCATCTTATAAGCTTGGAGTGTGAAGAAAATAGAAAGGGAAGTTAGAAAGGCAGCTAATGTTGGCATTCCATCTCTCTGTTTCCCAGAGTTGTTCTACCCCCCCTGCCCCCTCTGCCGCCAACAACCAAAATGCCTGACACCCTGAGCCCAAACTGTCCCGTATGTCGTCTGAAACCACGAGGCTAAGCTGCCCCTAAAGCTGTTTTCTCAGAAATTTTATCACGTAAGTTTAGAGGAAGTCTAAGATAGCAATTCTATTGTGTCATACACATGCATATTTACAAATTTAATACACACACACACACACACACACACACACACACACACACACACAAATTAACCCAAGCTCTGGTAAGATCAGAAGCATTCTTAATTTTAAAGAATAATTTGAGCCCCTAAGATTGCTGAGACCAGGATATGTACCCGACATGTGTAATGTAGTTTTCTCTCTAATCCATGATACGAACAAGCTCGTTGAAAAAAATACATCTGTTTGTGAATAGAACTTGGAATCGTTTACACTGTTTGTTAAGAGTGAAGCAAATGCTCACCACCTTGACATTGCTGCATAAGAGAAAACGGTGACATCATGGACAATTCTGAACTGGCTGGAGACACCCACTTTTTAAATTTTCTAAGTGAGAACAGAACAAACCGTCTTCCATGTGATTAATCTTCAGAGGTGATGTTTGTGCATGTTCACATCACAGACACACAGTATCCCCAGGAGATGGGTACCAGCCAGTGGCATAATGCCACTATCCCTCTGACATCAGAGCAGCCCACGTTTTTGTCCACGTCTTTCTTTTTTTTTCAATTTTCCAGTTATTTAATTTATTCATGGAAGAACATTTTACAAATAAA